AACAGCAACATATGAACACTTTGTCCTAAGTTCTGAGAATACAAGGACAGATAAGATATTTCCTTGTATTTTGATAATGTACATCCAGTTATGGTTGTTCTTATGCTGTGGTGGGTATTGTGCAGATTTCATAGACCATGATGCATTTATGTTTTCTTAAGAACACAGTGGAGAGAAGAGGTAATAATTCTAAACCTAACAAAGAAAGGGTCAGAAGACCAATCTGTGGGATGTCCACATGAAAACTCTTTGTGGTTTTTGTCCATAAAGTAAATCTGATACTTGATTGTTGCTTTTAATGTTCAATGAGCCAACTGCATTTGTTTCCTAAAATTTGCAGTTCATCAGAAACCACTTTGCACACTTTTAATAACACCCTGTCTTTCAAAGCAAGAATTGAATTTCAAAGTCTAAGGAGGATTGGACATTTAATCTTAGAGACCTCCTCGTTCTTCGCCTCTGTTACCTCCGCTTTTACTTTACATCTCTTCTTTTTAGATATTTTGAGACTAACTAGGAAAGTGCTATACTGAGGAGTTTTTTGGTGTACACATATGTAATTAAAATACAAGAGTTTGATTTTTTCCCTTTTACAAAATTTTAAAAGGGAGATTTTGGTATTAAATTAATATTTAGCACATTGCTTTGTGCAGTTTAAAAGCATTTTATTCTAATACAAATGTCATACCAATCACTATGTCATTTCTATTCATGAAGAAGAAACATTTGAAGTGTTTAGTCATCTGTGAATGCAGTTTATAGTTAAACTGCATAATGCCTGTGATACTGCGCTGACAGACACAGAACAAATAGTCCAGATTTTGTGTCTTAAAGATTGATCATTTATAGATCAGTTGATAATCCTCCCCCACCCCCCACCCCACCAGATTCGTTCTTACACTGATGATGGGAAATTTTACACTTTTGTTGAAAGTTCCAGGGTTCAAGAAGCCTCTGTCAGGGCAGCAGAACTATCTACTCTAGCACTTTTATCTTAAACATTTTTTCCCAGAAGGGATAGCAAGTGACCATATCCTCAGAAACAATGTTGTTGTTGTTGTTATGTGCCGTCGAGTCGCCTGCGACTCATAGCGACCCTATGTACAACAGCCCTAAACTCCGCTCTGTCCTGTGCCAATCGCACTGTCTCTGACACTCCCATCCCAATTATCCCAGTCACTGAATCAATCCACCTCATAGAGGGCCTTCCTCTCCTGCGCCGTCCCTCCACCCTCCCAAGCATGATGTCCCTCTCCAAGGACCGGTCTCTCCTCACTACATGTCCAAAGTAAGTTAGACAGAGCCTCAGAATCCTTGCCTCCAAGGAGCCACCCGGTTTAACCCTCTCCAGGACAAATCTATTTGTTTTCCTAGCAGTCCATGGTATTCTCAGTACTCTTCTCCAGCACCACAGCTCAAAGGCATTTGTTGAAAATAGTATGTCATAGGGGTGGAGTACTTAAGAGCAGGAGATTTATGCACATTAGCTAATACGATGGCGTTAAGAAAATAGGTGACATTACATGTATATTTAGTTTCTGTTACAGTGTCTTTTCACTTAGTATTTTCATTATCTAGTTCTTTTTGCATGTTTTAACATTTAATTATTTCTTTATATATTAAATAACATTCCACTTTATTTTTTGATGTTTGTGTAATGTAAGTGAGGCCATCTGGTTTACAGAGGCTGTTAACGTCTCTAATTGTTGTTTAAACATAGATTCTAACAGAAATAAACCAGTAGTTTGTGATACTTTTTTACATTCATGTTTTCTAAGTATAATTTGTAGAGTTTTAGTTTCCATATTAAATTAATGAATAAGTCTTTTTTCTTATTGATTCAGTTTCTGTTATAGAATAGAATCATCCATTGTTTTCAAAGAGAATTGATTTCAGATCTTATAATTAAATAGTATTATATTGATATTTGTTATATCAGGGATTGACTTATTTGAAAAATCGCTATTTAAAATTACTTAGAGATTTTACCAATCTACATGGATTGCTGTGCTTCCTGAGTATTATTGTGAGCCGCAACATAAACATCTTTGATGCAACCATGTCTTTTTAGTTATATTAACATATTTAAATAGGTGCTGTTTATATTGTTGTTGTTATGTGCTGTTGAGTCACATAGGAAGAGATCAGCCATCTTTCTCCAGGTGCTGTTAATGGATTAGAACTTTTTGGTTTTCAGTGCAGCTTCTCACCCCTAGGCCACCAGAGACCCTGTGCTTTATATATCGTTATTATGTACCATTAAATTGGAAAAGACTCTTACCCGATCCTCTTGCAGGTTTTCTGAGGCATTAAATCGAATGGGAAGAGATTGCCCATCTTTCTCTTGCGGAACAACTGTATATTCAAACTGTCTACCTTTGAGTCTGCAGAACTTTCTTACCATTAAGCAACCAGGCTCCCTAGGTCTCGTGTAATATGGCATAATTTTATGATTAGTAATTTTATTTTCAACAGTGACTTTATATGGTAACATTATGACCAATCCTAAACTACTTCTGTGGTTTTAAAATCTTTTTCTAGATATAGTTTTGGATGTAGAAATTGTTTAAAATTCATTTCCAACACAATATTGAAGTCCTACTGTGAACTAACACAGTGGAACCACTGTGTACTAACTAACACAGCCCTCATCTCCGTACCAGCCCAAGTAAAACTCTTACATTACTCCTTACCAGCTTCTCTGTGACATGTGAAACAGAACTAAATAAGAGTTGGAAGCCAGCAAACATTTACGTAGGATGCTCTAGGTGTTCTCATGAAACATGAAAGCAAGATTTAAAAAGCCTTCAGGTACTCTGTTTGTTGCTGATAGCGGAGAGAAAACTCTTCATTTTTGAAATTGTGTCTGGGTTTCAAAACACCAAATTGTGTTTAACTCTATTTTTAATCCATATCTATAATAGCAAATTTGAGTCTTCTTTAAGGAGAGGGATCTTATCTGTGTAAGTACCCTCTTGGATTTGTTATTCCTAGTGCTCACTGGCTCCTTACCATAGCTGATGAGACTGCTGATCTAAACAACCAACATCTCTCTCTTTTTCTCTCTTTTTCAATCTGAAAGTTTCCACAAAATTATAGGTGGTCAAGCTATGTTCACTGTGTATAAATGAGCAACTTTTTTTTTTTTTGCACAGTATGTTTTTTGTAAAGATGTTTGATTCTTATTCTTTGTTTTTAGTGCAAATGTTATGTTTTATTTCAAGCAAGGAATGATTCAAGCTTTTTATTTTTATAGCACTGCCTTTTGATGGAGTTTTGTTTATAGCCTTTCATTATTTGCAAGCCACGTGCATTCATATATGATTATATAAACACATGTATATGTGCAAAACTATACATTCACACACATTTATTTTTCTTTCCTCTTCATTTTAAAGTGCAATTCATTGCCACTACTTTATTTATTGTTCTCAATTTCCAAATTACCACTAAGTAAATGTGTATGGCTAATTTGCCATAAGCAAGGTCACAAACCCTTACTTAGTTGAAGTAATATCTTGCATATACAGTAATATGATTCAGTCAGTGTGTTTATGGAATAAATGTAGTTTGGTCATGATGGAATTTTAAAAACATGGGAAAATCATAGAGACTTTTTAGTTTTAAAACATTTTATTTAATGATCAAGGGGGTGTTTTTTTGTTATTTTTTGACATCTGAACTTTGAAATATAGAAGTCTATAGTTTTTATATATACATTTTAGTGATTGGAGGAATTGTATATTAACGCATCCTTTTTCCATATTTTGACCAGTTTTATTTAATATGCTTTAATCTTTCTATAGATTAAAATCTTTCTTTCTTAAATCTTTATTCATTTTTCCACTTCTTTTGTTAGGAGCAGCTTGAAATGTCTGCTTTGGTGTTGTACTTGTGTATATTTAATAAATGGTTCTCTGTGGTAGAAAGGGTAACCTTGATAGACAGCTTTTTATGACTCCTTTGCCATGTAAATACTCCAGCCATGGCTCTTTTCAGCAACCAACATGATATTACTGTTTAACAGAGTAGGGAAGAGACACTCTCACTTGGCCCTTAAGAGACAGTATGAGTTGACACCTGTACACCACTGTTATTGCACCTCTACTTTTTCCTCCATTCACTCCTGACATTATCTGTGAGTCATAAGTAATTTCATATGTAATATTATTTTTGTATTGTATTTATGATCATAACTGTAAAACCAATCCCAAACCAAATCTGTTGCTGTTGAGTTAATTCAGACTCATGGCAGCCTTTGTTGTAAAGTACAACTTCTCCTTAGGTTTTCTTGCCTGCAGCCTTTATGGGGTAGGGACGTGGGGTGGGAGTGGTGTAGGACTGCAATATCAGGTGGAACCATCAACCTTTAGGTCAACAGTTGCACACAAACCTCAATTTGCACTTCGCTCAGACTGTCTTTATAAAACTAATACCAGTTTCCCCTGTTATCCAGAGTTGGGTATTTCTTTTAAACTTTTTTGTAAAATGTAATGTCTTAAAGTGAGGAAGCGCCATTAATTTATGTTACAAAGTGTCTGTATTCTTAGACCTCAGAAACAACCTGCTAAATCATGGGAACTACCATAAATCTTAGTATTTAATAAAAACAGTGTTATGGAAAGTACACATGTGAAAAGGAGCTCTGTTTGTCTAATGGTAAGGAGCTGTTCTGCTAACCCAAAAGGATCCTGTTCAGATACACCAGCTGCTTATAGGGCAGAGATTGGCCATTTCCTCCTGTGCGAATTACTGTCTCTGGAAACCTGAGGGAGGTTCAGTTTTGGGTCACATCTGACTTGATGGTCACGATTTGGATCTGGTAGTGAGCTTGTGTGTACCCTGTCGTACCTATGGCAGAAGCTTTGGAAATGGAAGATAGCCTTACAAAATACTTTTGAATATGTAACGACAGTAGACAGCACACATAATTGTGATATTCCAAGCTAGGATGCATTTAAAACTCATATGACAATGTAAAATGATATTTTCTTTTTTAGTTGGGTGAAAAGTTTTGGACACGAGGGTCTCGGATTATTATTGAATATTTTGGAAAGACTGATTAATTGCAAAACGTAAGTATTACTAAGAATTATTTTCAGCTAAGGTATGTTTGCATATCTATTACAATTTCAACACCAATATCTTTTCATATCAATACAGCCAAGAAAAAATTGTAAAGAAGAGTCAGCACAAAGTCATTCAATGTCTAAAGGCTTTGATGAACACACAGGTATGTACATAGGTAATTTTATTTTTTCCTCAGTCTTTATAGAATTTTTACTTGTACTGAGTTCATATATTTTCCACTCTTTTCCAAGTATACAAACAAAATGACATTAAAATATATTGAATTCCAGTTCTGTTTCAAGTCTACTGTCTTCTAACGAGGAAACATTTAGAGAATTATGGATTCTTTTAGGAGCCCTGGTCCCACAGTGGCTAAAGACTTTTACAGTTACCTGAAAGGTTAGCAGTTGCCAGAGGGAGGGCATTTTCTTATGGTGAAAGATAGGGCAGTCAGTCTGCTTCTGTGAAGAGTTCACAGCATTGCAAACTCTGTAGGCAGTTCGCCTCTCTGCTATCAGGTAGCTAAGAGTCAGAATCCACTCAGTATCAGTGGGTTTGGTTTGGTTTTGGGTCTTTCTGGTGCACAGTGTCTCATGCACGGATAAATCCTTTCTTTTTGAAAGATGCGGTTTGGTTCCTTCCTCTTTACTCTTTTTCAATTCTCTTTTTATGTCTGTTTCCCTCCCTTGCTTCTCTTGCCTTTTAATGTTCAAAAGATACAGCATGATTCAACTTGAAACTTGATTATTAAATATGACCTGCAGTGAAATGAATAAGAAACCTACTTGATAAGATAGAGTTCTTCTAATCTAAGATTAATATTTAAAATATATGATGAAGTAGCCTTACAGAAATATTTCCCCCAAATTGAGCCCTGATGTTGTTTAATGCAGGTAATACTTGGTCCAAATGTAATGTGAAGGATCTGGAGATTGGTTAGATAAAGAATATACATTCACAAGAGAGAAATTCTTTACTCTCTTCACTGAAGTTATCTGAAGTGTGTGTTTTTTAAGACCGTTAATTACAGAAATTAGCATTATCCCATGCCATGTAAATGCATCAACTTTAGTTCCAGCATCTAAACACATCTACCTCATGATGTGTATAATAATACTAACTGTTTCAGCTGCTGTAAGACAGCAGGAGAGGTCATTTTACTATGGTGATGTGATGATTTTAGTTTTATAGCAAAACTATCAGTATATTTCTGATTAATTGTAATTTATAGTTTATATTCTCTTTTTAAAATAAACACCTAGGAAATTACACATGTAAATACTGTTAATTAAATTAACATTTTGCATTTCATTTATTAAATATAGCTAGTGTTTATATTTTCCATTTGTTTTGTTAGGTAATAATTTGCATTTTAAAAAAAAGAATTATGGAGGTAAATTTTCTATTTCTAATCAATGAAATGTTTTTCCTTTTCTAATAAATATAATCTTGAGGATATAAAAATCACAAAACCTATCTCTGAGGGTTATATTTTAGACTTATTAAGTAGCCTCTATAGTGAGTGAATGAAAGAAACTTATGTACCTAGTGCTATTTTTGAATGATGCATGTATAAAAAAAAGTATATGTAGAAATTGGAAATCTCAGTATTGATAGCAGGCTTAGAATGGAGAAAAACTAGGGATATTGTTTCAAACAAGATGGGTGTTTGGATCAGATAGTAATTTGAATAATACCCTGGCTAACGAAGCTAATACTCCTGCTTGATTTGGGAGCACATTGGGATTAGAGTCAACTTTTTATGTGTATTCATCTTCTAATTAATGTCCTGTAACTTAAGATGACAGATATTTCATTTATGATTTTTTACGTATGTTGTTGTTGTTATGTGCCATCGAGTCGTTTGCGACTCATAGTGACCCTATGTATAACAGCCCTAAACCCTGCTCTGTCCTGTGCCAATCGCATTGCCTCTGACACACCCATCCTGATTACCCCAGTCACTGAATCAATGCATTTCATAGAGGGTCTTCCCCTCCTACACTGTCCCTCTACTCTACCCAGCATGATGTCCCTCTCCAAAGACCTGTCTCTCCTTGCAACATGTCCACAGTATGTCAGACGAAGCCCCAGAATCTTTGCCTCCAAGGAGTAGCTTGGTTTAACCCTCTCTAGTTTGAATCTGTTTATTTTCTTGGCAGTCCATGGTACATTCAGTACTCTTTTCCAGCACCACAGCTCAAAGGCATCAATTCTCCTTCTGTCCTCCCTAGTCATTGTCCAGCTCTCTGATGCATAACAAGTGATTGCAAAGACCATGGCCTGTATCAGGCACACCTTAATCTCCAAAGAGACACCGTCGCTCTTGAGTACTTTAGAGAGGTCCCTAACAGCAGACTTTCTGATGGGCTTGTACTAATAAAGAATACAAGAAGTTACTGAGATATAAAAGCAGTAAATACTGTTGTTGAGTCCCTTAAGATACCCTTGTGTCTCTGAGTTATCTTTAGTTGACAGGGCTTCCAGTGGCTAATTTTTGAGAAGCAGCTACCCGTGCCCTTCATCCCAGGCACTGTCAGGTATCCTCGAACCTCCAACTTTTCACAACTCATACAATTATGCTTTTATACCACCAAAGGACTCCATTGATACTTTGAATTAACATTATAATATCTGAACCCTATAGTTAGTAAAATGTGCTATATTGATAAAACTATTTTAAAAAAATTATTGTGATTTTAATGAAAATTTACCAAAATGTTGGGTTTTCATTCATTCATTGTTGCACATTTTCTTCTTCTCCCTCCTTTGTACCACCCCTTGTCCATTTTGAAACGCACCTCTAGTTCCAGGTTGCTGTCTTACATATAATGCCTAATCACGTAGTCCTTTCAGACAGCGTTTCCCCCTCATCTGTTCCAATGCAGTGATCATTATCTACTCTTTTCCTAGTGGTGCAGCTATTTTTTAAGATGATTTCCCCTCAGCTTTATTAGCTTATGTGTATAAGGACTCCTAATGGCACCATGGACTGAACTTTCGGCTATGAATGGGAAGGTCACAGTTTTCGGTCCAGTAGCTGTTCCGCAGGAGAAAGAAGCAGCAGTCAACTCCCGCGGAAACGTGCGACACTGGAAACCGTATCAGCCAATTCTGCTTGAGCCTACAGCTTTCAGCAAGTTGGAATTTATTTGACAACAGTGGCTTTGGTTTTCCCTGTTGTTTTATAAGTATGGAATTTGTTAAGCCTCAGTATGCTGCCTTAGAGATCATTGAGAGAGAGAGAGGAAAAAAACCAAAACAAACTAGTCATAAGAGGAAAATGTATTGGCTGCTTATTTGCAACTCAATATTACTTATATGATTAAGTATGGTGATCAAATTTGATAACACTATGGTATTAAGGAGTCAGCTCCAGCTGATAGCAATTCCGTGAACAGAACAAAATTCTGCGCTGTCCTAGTAATTTGTGCTCTTCTTAAGTACATTCTTGTGGTCACTGTGTCAGGTCCTCTCATTGAGTGTCTTTCTCTCTTTTGCGAACCCTCCACTTTCCTACATGAATGTCCTTCTAACATAGCAGGTGAATTTCTTCTTACATTGACTTGTAGTAAATAATATTTCTGAATAAGTGAATAATTTGAAGACCTCTTAGAAAGAATGGGAAACTGAGGCACTGAGAAAAGAGAATTTTGTCAGCTAACATTTGTTGCCTGGAAATATGTGCCCACTTATCCATATAGTTTCCATTATTGGAATTAGCTCTGAGTGGCGCATTGCTCAGCACTAGCATTTATGCAGAGAACCCTTGGGACCTCGTGGGCAAGGAGTTAGGCTGCCAACTAAAAGGTCCTTTGAACACCAGCTACTTTGTCTTTATTGACAGCCTCTGAAAACCTGCCAGAGGGGCAGCTAAGAGTTGGTTCCAGCTCAGAGGCAATGAGCCAGTTTAATCTATGCTGTGTGGGCTAGAGACATTCTACATAAGCATTTCAGGAATTAGCTTTCCCCTGCTTAAAACATCATCTTCAAAGACCTGGAATTCCATTAGGTAATAATAGGCCTGATATGGCATGTCACTGTAACCCAGCCTCAGTTCTCAGTTTAGAACATCAAGGTATCATTTTGGATAGAGTAGATCCTTTATATTCAAGAGATATTTTCTCTCAAATGCTCCGAAGTTTGTGACCACCTTTGTAATTTATAATATCTTTGATTTAATGCATGTTACTTTGCATGTTACTACCTGTACTGGTAAGTTAGCTATTTCTTACTAAGAGTCTGAGGGGTTTTTTTTTGTTTTGCCTTGAGTTTTTAATAACTGAAGGAGATTAATATTATACAAGTAGGTGGCATTTCTGTCTTCAGTTACCGATACAAAATAATGATAATTCCAGCAGTACACAATTCTATTTTATGGAAACTCAGTGGATAGGTCTATGATAGATTTAGAGGAACACCGGATAATAGCCAAAACCATGAAATCAGAATATGCTCATATTCTGCCCTTAACATGTTTTTGTTTAAAGCTTAAATGACATGAGAACGTAGGCAGTATCAGTTGGGAGGGACCCACGGCTGGAAGAGCCAAAGAATTCCAATTCCAGAAGAGCAATCATTGACTAAGAACATCTACCTGGGTAGGAAGTGAAGAGAAATACTGTAAGTTATCAGTTCTTAGCTATCTTAGAACAGAGGCAGCCCTTTGGTACTTAGTAATCATTGACTGCCTTTTTGGATTGAATCTAAGAGGTACTTTATAACGCACTAATGATTCCATGGAAAGAATATTGAGACATATTGTTCCTTTTGGCCCCATCCCTGCCTTTTTTTTCCCTTTGTTTTCAGTTATAAATTAGCCCAGGGCATCACAAAAGTGATTATTTCCTGTGTGATTTAACTGTCTGTTTTTAAGCTTTCACTTGTTACCCACAAGGCAGAATTCTCTCTAAAAACAATTTCCTAGGGTTCTGGGTCCTTTCTAAGGAGCACCAATGGCTTGAGCCTTTCACGTTAGGCTCTTAAGCAGAAGGTCAGTGGTGTGAATCCGCTGATAGGAGAAAAATGGACAGTCTCCTCAGCCCTGGAAACCCCATGGAGAATAGCGATGAGGCAGATCACCCAGTGGCTGTGGAGTTGGTATTTGGTTTGGTTTTCTCCCTTCTGTGTAGACTTCCTCCATTGTGCCTATATTCCTAGTAGTGAATGTTATATACCACCCTAATGTGGAGATTTCTTTATATAAATGCCATGTCAAGATGAGTAAATTACAAACAGAATTTCTTGAGACTCAAAGCATTCTAGTCTAGGTATCACAGGTTCAATTCTAATGCTTATATCTAGTATTAGTTCTGAGTTTAAGCCAGAGTCCCATAGGTCTGCAAGTGGGATGAAAATAGTTTTCTAGTACTTAGTAGTAAATTTACCAGTTTTTCACTCAAAAGAATAAATATGCGGGCTCCGTGATAGATAAATAGCATTGTTTTATTTTTTTCCTTTTCACTGTATTTGGTACATATCTTTCATAGATTATGAGAATCCCAAAGAGATAAATACATCTTGAATTTAAAATACTGCATTAATGACATGATTCCTTATTTTTCGTTGCTTGCAATATCCTGGCAGAATCCAGAATTTTATCTACAGGTGTTACAGTTCTATAATGTGTATATGATAGTGTTTTCTTGCTGATGATAAGACACTATTCTGATGAGAATATGGCTATTTCTTCATGATATTTGTTTAAATCTTCCTTCATATTTTATACATTTGTGAATAAAATATTAGTATCTGGGATTATTTTGTCAAAATATCAATGAATATTGATCATGTGTTGTAATGATAGTATTGTTATATGCTCTCATGTCACCTGCAACTTGATAAGTAAAACTAATTTTACCTGTTACTCTGAAATTTACAGCTGCAACCATGGTTTCCATATCGGTGGAAGTTGTGGAAATATGTCTTCCCAACTTGTGGTAGTTTTACTATCACAACTTGTGTCTTTCTACTTTTAGTAGTATCTCTTAGAAACCTTCCAAGAAGACCCTTATGGTCTCAGTGTCTTCTCTAATATCAGCTTCATATGTTCTTGTTGGGAAATCTTAGTAATTCTCACTATTGCTCCCTTTCTCCAGCTGACATTTTGCTAAACATTTATAACTTATGGTGTAGTAAAATTACCTTTGTGAGTTAACTGCATTTGGGTGATTCTTATAATTCTTTATTGCAAAACAAATAGTTTTGATGCATGGTTAAGTGTGAAAAATTATCTTTTAAATAATTTTTTCTAACTCCTAGAATATAACCTCGTATTTCTAAAATTTTATAGTATGGATTGGAAAGAATTATGAGTGAAGAGAAGAGTCTTACTTTATTGGCCAAAGTTATTGATCCTACATATCCTGCTATGATGACGGACGTGGTTAAACTTCTGTCTGCAGTCTGCATTGTGGGCGAGGAAAGCATGTAGGTATTCTTTCTCTGTTTTTCTTCCTTTGGATAACTTTATACGTTTTGACTTTATGAATGTTTTTGTTATCTACTCTAGATTTCAAGTTACTTTCAATATATTTGAATATATTTCAATATATTTTAGCAGTACATTGACATTCATGTGAATTGAACAGAAATGTTTGAATAATATTATTTTAAATAGTACAATAGTTATGGACTAAAATGTTTACGTGAAAACATGATTTCTTCATGGTGATTTTAAATTGTTTTAAAGTCCCTAAGTTAGACATGAAGATTTTATACCATACACAAACAGGTTCTGGTTTTTATATGATTTTATTTTTAGGTATAATTAATAGATCAGGCGTTTCCCACTGGAAAAAACAGACTTCATGCTATGTGAAAAGCTATAATATATAAGATGTATTTTCAAAGTGATATATCTAATATTATTACCTATATAGTTATCTATCTGTAAACTAGTACTTTATTGATACATTATCCTTGACTGTGAAGTACATGCTAGAACTTTAAGTTTTCAAGACATTGACTACATTTGTTAGGGCTATAACTAAATTACCAAGGTTCACACTGTAATTTTTTTCTGCCTTCTGTCTGCTTTTGATGTATGGAGAGGCTGTGCACAATGGATTTGTACCATTCTGATCTGTAGAGATTTTATGGACTGATTTTTTGATCATCACCCTTCTCTTCTGAGTTATCTTTATCTAAAAACTCCACTGGTAACTGTTCAACATCGTGACAAAATATAATCCTCCTTTGGCAAATGGGTAATATATTTGCCCAAATCCAATCCAAGTCTTTCAAACAGAAAGTGGGAATTTGGTTACAAGTACTCACTGTTGATTGACCTTTTAAAAAAATAAATAAGACAGCATGTAAGAGAAAACAGGCCATAAAGAGACAAGACCAGAGGAGTAAAAATAACACAGCCCTTTACCATCCTAGAACTGAAAGTAGCCCAGCCCCATATTGCCTCTAGAACCACACCAAGAGCAAGCGATTAGCTTATTTGTTGTTGACTTACAGACTCACAGTTACGGTACCAACAATGGAGTTTATTAGGGAAGGAATTTGGAGAGTGAGGAAGGCAAAGAATATCTCACAGTACAAGTCCAAGTTTATCCTAACAGTCCTAAGGCACAATTCCTCAATTACTCCAGGTTCTGGTTTCAGTTAAGCAGTTAAATCCAAATCATACAGCAAGTTTTGCCTCAGAGCATAAATCAGCTTCTCCTTTAAGCTTCTGGCAAAAACAGCCAGACCCTTAAATGTGGCAGGCACAAATGCAAGGAGCCTCAGGTCATACCTTGCCACCATCTCTTCACAGCAATGCTTCAGTCTATCCTCCACCAGAGTCTTGCTCTCACCAGTTTCTTGATGCTGCAAGCCTTGCTCTCCTCAATTCTTCCTGTCCTCAAGTCTTGCTGCTTAGTATGGGAAGCACTTTTTCTCTTATCTTAGTCTCATAGCTGTTGATGATTTGCAAGACCATAGAGATTTGCCAGACCATATCCCTGCAATTAAGGAAGCTGGAAACCAGAGGCTAAATGGCTTAAAAGTGCCAACTTTTAGCTAACACTACACATTCATATTAAAAGATGATTAAACCCTTTTTCTACTAAAAGATAACTTAGACATTATAATTGCAAGAAAACATTTAAAAATAATTTAAGGATTCCTTTAAAAAACTATAAGCACATTGCCATCAAGTCAGTATTGAGTCAAACCATTCTTATCTACTGTTATCTAGGACTGCTTGCTCCCTAGGGCTTTTTGTTTGATCTGGGTACAATCTTTACAAAATTATGTCACTAGACCTATTTTCTTTGGCTCTAATGTGTAAATCGTCAACCTTGGGTAATAGCTAATAGGTTAAAATTCAGATTTGTAACACTCATTGCAATTCTTTAATCATAACAGACTCTTCTAGGCATGTTGGTAGGTACGCTTCTTTCTGGGCCTTAATGTAATAGTCCTAGACTTTGTCTGGCTTGAGCAAATGTTACAGAAATATTTCTAGCTCTGCTGCCTTAAGTTTCCACAAACTTAAGAAAGCCTAGGCCAGAAGGGGATTGGCTTTAGTTCCACCAGTTAACAAAGTTAGTTCTCTGACAAATGCTAGGTAACTGAAGATAACTGCTCCTCCAATAAACCTCCTATCCAAAGGCACTTAATTTGTGGACAGAGAGCCAACTGCTCTATCTCATGCTAATCATCTGTTTCTACTGACCTACTATTGCCTTTTCTCTGTCTCCACTTCTGACAATCTCTTCTCTCCAGTGTTACAGTTTTCCAGCTCCTGATTTGAGAAGGTTCCAGTGAAAGAGTCCTGGGACCAAAGGATGTGCTCCTCTCCTGAGTTTCTTGCTTGATGTAGTGAGATTTGTTTATTTATTTCTCTCAGATGGCTTTTTGAAATATGGCAAAATGGCCTGACTGACCAATCCTACACTAATGTTCTCCACAACCGATTTGCATAGTACTACCCCACAAGGATACTCTGCCCTTTATTTATTTATATTATTAGCAAGTTATCTAGTCTTCCTGATGGTTCAAAGATATACCACATTTACATAATCCTATTGAGTAGTGTGATGATATTTAGAAGAGCCACATTAAGTAGTTCACTGCACCATACCTGGAAGTGTTTGTGGATTGGAACTATCTGTACTCAGTTGCAGTGCTGAGCATATAAAGCCAGGCATACACGTTTAACACTTTCCCATTCTCATTATAAAAAGGCCAGCCATTTAAAAGTAAATGATATGTTGCTCCATAGCCTACGTCATATCCTCCTCCTCCATTTTCCCTCAATTTTCCTATTTCTACTTTTTTAAACTCCTCCACTCCTTCTTCCCTAGTTAATGTTTCTCCTTGGTCCTCCATTTCCCTTCCTATTATTTCCGTTCTTTTACCATATCCTTATTATCTTTTTTCCCTTCGGTGTGCCTTAGCTATCTCATTTTTATTATATTTTGAATTCAAAATATGTATCTTTTATAGAGTAAATAATTTTTTACATTATAAATGATACATTATAAAAGTTAATGTAAACAACTTTTGCATTACAAAAGAGTTATATCTCAACAGCCACAAACTGAGCAACTTCAATGTACTAGGACTTGATAGTTGTGTTTTTATAATCATACTGTAATGTTTTGGGAACACACACACACACACACACACACACTCACTCTCTCTCTCTCTCTCTCTCTCTCTCTCTCTGTCTCTCTATCTCTCTCAGGAGTTAGTCGGGGGAAAAAAAATACCTTGAAAGAATTGTAGGGTTTTTTATGCATAACTTTTTTTTATACTTAATAATATTCTATAATGAAGGACATATTGTTATTGTTTAGTTCCATCAATTGACTAGAATGCTAATGGCCTATGAATACAAGATTGAAACCTTATCTTTAACTGTGCTGTTTTCATAATTTTTGTCATGCTCACAGCCATTGTTTTAGTCACTGTGTGTCAGTGTAGTACAGTCAGTCTTGTTGGATCTTTCTCCTTAATTGACCCCCTTTCCAAACCTGATTTTTTTTTCTTAAGGACTGGCTCTCTCTGACAAAATATCAAAGCATGTGAGACAAAGTTTCATTGTTTTTGCCTCCTAGGAGCACCTTGGTTACACTTCATCCAAAGTAGATTTGTTTAGTCTATTGAAAGTCCATGGTGTATTCAGTATTTTTCACAGGCACCACAATGTATCAATTCTTCTTTGACTTTCCTTATTCATTGTCCAACTTTCACATGTGTGAAGTGATTTAAAGTAATGCAAATATACAAAAATATACAGTTGCATATAGTGCTTAGATGACATATATACTGTCAGATCCTTGCTCTGTCATTTAGTAGATAAGAACTTAGATGACTTGATTTTTTTCTTCCTCTTTGATTTTCTAATCTATGGTATGATATGGTAACATCCCTCTTCTCCTAAATCCATCCCTTAAGGAGGTGGATTGATACTGAGACTATAACAATGAGCTCCTTCAGAGATCTAGAAGATGGTACAGAGCAGGGCAAGGTTCAGATCTGTTGTTCATAAGATTGTTAGGATTAGTAGCTGATTAGTACCTAACCACAAGTTACAAAAACGTTCTTAAGGTACTTTTAATTAGGGGGTGCCTGGCATGCAGTAAACATCCTATAAATACTTGATAAGTTAGCATCCATGTGGAATTGTTTTGGGGATTAAATTAATTCGATGGACTAAGATGAATTAAATGTGTAATGTGATGTAATAGGTTTTTAGACATGATACATGCACAGTTAATTCTGAAATGGTTATTGCTTATGTGTAGTTGTGGAAACAATAAATAGTATTATGGCTTTTGTGTTATTTGCTACTTACAACTGAATCAATAGATTAAAATATTCCAATAGCCTTGAAGAAGTTTTGGATGCTTTAACATCATCTGGAGAAGAAAGAAAAATTGATAGATTTTCTCCTATTGTGAAAGGTCTTCGGCACAATTCAATTCAACTACAGGTAAGGTTAACATATTGTATTTTTAATTAACATATGTATTATTTCTGTAATGGCTTTGTGGCTGATTATTTGAAACATGAAGCTCTGTAAGCCATTTTTTATTTTCTATCTCTCTTTTTTTAAATGATTGAATAGAGTTCCAAATTATGTTGCTGTTATCTGTTATCTAGTGGATTCCAGCTTAAAACAACCCCATGTATACAGAGTAGAATTTTTCTGTTAGACAGAAGAAGCAGATTGCCAGGCTTATTGTCTGAAGTGCTACTCACTGGATTTGAACCGTTAAGTTTTGCTAATAGTCAAGTGCTAAATAATCAATACTTTAAAATTTTTATTTTCCCTACTTAGCCATTGTGATTTAAGTTTTTGCTATCTAATGATGGTTTTTCATTATGATTAATCCTAGGATTAGAAATAGTCTATGAGGTGACATCCTTAAGTTAAAATTATGTTACTATATTTTACATTAGTTAACCTACATCTTTCCCAAAATAAAAGTTTTGTATTCTCTTATTTCTCATCAGACTTTAGCTATTTCCTTTGAAATACTTGAGGAACCCGTTAATAACCAAAAATACTTGAGTGTTTCTGAAATTTCCACAAATAAAGGATATTTTAGAGCTAGCTGGTTATCAAATTTCTCATACATCTATTGCTTTAAGTGCCCATTTTATTCCATTAGCTATATAATTTGCATTTATTAAAATGTACTAGTGTGGGTGATATTAGCAAATCACCAAATTAAAAAGAAAACGTGTTTGTTGCTGAATAAGACAGAAACCAATTGTTTGCTTTTAAATTGGAGAAAATATGAGATAGTAAAGTTAAAAAAATCCTCATTCTTTTTTTATGACAAAGTATATTTATAACAAAGTACTTTTTAAGGATTGTTAGATTTTTCTCGATAGTCTTATCATCATAGTAAAGATAATTTGAGTGCCTATTATTATGATAGAATTGAGAATAGAGGTTCCCCCTCCCCTGCTCTACCTTTTCTCAGTTGTTATAGTAAGAGAGTGAAAACTGTTCAGCTAAAAAAGTGATCCTCAGACCTGGAGACTCTTACTATCTGAAAAGATATTGTGCATATAAATATCAGATTTAACATTGATATATCTCACTTTTTTTTCTTACCAGTGTATCTGCTGTATTTTTTGATGCCAGCAACTGTTCTTATTCTCAAGAAAAGAGAGTAAAATTACTTTGTTTTTGTTCTGTGCAGTCAAGTCACCTGAGACTCACAGTGACTCTGCATCCAATATCTCTGAACTCTGTCCTAGGCTGAGCCAGTCTCATTGTCTCTGGTACACCTAAACCCCATTATTCCACTTACTCTGTTATTCCATTTTATGCAGAGTCTTCCTCTCTTGTGCTGTCCCTGTACCCTCCTAAGCATGATGTTCTTCTCCAATGGCTGGTCCTTATTGGCCGCATGCCTGAAGTATGGAGACAGAGCTTCAAAGTCTTTGCCATTCAGGAGCAACTTGGTTTCACCCTCTCCTGGACAGACCTGTTTGTTTTTTTCACAGTCCTTGGAATGTTTAACACTCTTCCCCCAACTCAAAGGCATCAATCCTCCTTCTGTCATCCTTAGTCATTTTCCAGCTTTCTGATGCATAGCAAATAATTGCAAAGACCAGGACACCTTAGCATCCAGACTGACATTGTTGTTGTTTAGCACTCTCAAGAGTGTCTTGACAGCAACTTTCCCAGTGTAATTCATCTTTTGATTTCCTGACTTCTAGTGCCGAGAATGTTGATTCTGGAATCAAGCAAGCTGAAATTAACAAAATAAATCTCTTCTCTATCCATCATGGTGCTGCCAATTGGCCAGGTGATGAGAATCATTGTCTTCTTGATGTTGAGCTTCATTCCATATTGAAGACTACAGTCCTTGACCTTCTGCAGCAAGTGCCTCAGGCAATGTTGTGTCATCTGCATAACATAGATGGTTAATGAGTCTTCCTCCATTCTTGATACTGCATTCCCACATGATCTGTTCTGTGTTAAGATTGAAAAGATATGGAGATAAAATGCATCCCTGGCACACTTCTTTTCTGATTTTGAACCATGCAGTATTATGCTCTGTTCTGACAACTGCTTCCTGGTGCAAGTATAGTTTTTGCCTGAGACCATTCAGGTGTTCTGGAATTCTCATTTTTCTCAATGTTAGCCACAATAATTTCAGTTATTTTTCTGCATTGTCGTTACTCACATTAATCTTCAGTTTCTGCCATAAACTATTATTATTTTTCGCTTTTAAACATTTTTCTTTTTTATTTCCTTTCTTGATGTTTCTTCTTCCTGACTTCTCTTGGCCTGACTAAACTGTGTTAGATCATGATCAAAAGAATAATTTAGGTCCCAACAGGTTAGTTAAAATCCTTAAAATTAGTTGTTGTCATTATGTACCGTGGAATTGCAGCTGATCCATAGCTGACCCTTCAGTGGGTTTTTAAAGGTAGTTAATTTCACAGGAGGAAATTGTCCATCTTTCTTCAGAACAGCTGGTGATTTCAGACTGCGTGCCTTTGGAATTGTGGCACAGTTTCATACCATTAGGCCTGCAGAACTCCCTTGATGTTGGTTATAGAACTGATTTGGATTTGGAGGAAGCTAGAGAGTGGGGATCCAATAGGTTTCTTGGCAAATGTTTAACTGTCCTTTTGGGCGTGTGTTTTTTTGTCCTTAGATTGGCAATGCCAGCATACTGCTTTCTCCTTCTTGTGGTGTCTTTCTGACCCAGGCCATTTGCATTTTGCCTGGAGAGTGTCAGAAATAGGAAATGCTTGAGATTTCACCCTACTAGTAAACTATTTAGTCTTGCTAGTCTTCTTCAGTTTTATGCAGTTATTAGAAGAGTAAATACAAAAGTCAGACACAAAGAATTTTATATCCACAACAGTAGCAGAAACCAGAATGTCAGGTTTCTTCTTTTAGTTCCTGAGCCCCAATTCCCAGAACAGGACATGATGAGGGTCAGTTGTAATAGGTTGTGTTTTCGGAGCAAACTCTAGTATCCAGGATTGTAATTACTCTGATTGAGCCAGTCTGTGATCACATCTGTTCAGTTTGTCTTGTATTGTACTTAATTAAGTCTGCTGTCAAGAGAACTTCAAGAGGCAGGATGGAGATCAACTTATCAACTTGCAGTGCTGACCAAAGCTGGGCCCTTCTGAACAAATTCTATTAACTGCAAGTGCATACCTTAGAAAACGTGACCATTTGCTCCTTGAGTTTTTCTGTGATCTTTGTAGTCAGTCTGAGGTATTAATTCAGGTAAAAACAGATGTTACGGAGATTGTATAGACCTCACCTTATTCTTCAAAAAGGAATTCTAGGGCAATTATTTCATTTATAACATCTCTATCCAGTTCTTTGAACTGAGTCAGAGATCGTAGTGTTCTTAGAACCCTCCAGGGCTGATCTGGTGTCATTGATCACTTTAACTGAAGACAGGAGCACTTTTTTTTTTACTACTTTTTCTAATTGGGTGATTTACTGTGGAATAACTGCCTAAGGGTAAATATATAAATAAGCCAATCACCCCTCTAAGAATCTTCTTAGAATAACTAAGGTAAGCTTTAATTTGGAGAGATCCCCATAGTTGTCTGAGTGCTACATGATGTACTGAAAGTGTTTTTACAAATCCTTGAACATCTCTTATGACACCATCAGTCAAGAGAATGTTAGGATAGAAACAAGTTATTGTCTGACTTCCACATAAAATTTATAGTCTAAGAAGAACATATGTTGCCTCTGAGGAGAAAATGTTGCATATAATGGTGGACATTCCCCAATCAGGACCTGTCTCAGTCAACATTTCTTTTGCATGAAAATTGAGTCTATAAGTTTGTTTCAGAGCAGTTTAAAAACTGTGTAAACTCTTTTCCTTCCTCCCACACCCAGTGGTAATTGTCTTCCCTACAGAATTACTGCATTTAAAGCTGTGGGAATGAGAGTAGAACACACATTTAGGGATATTCTCACATGTTGTATTGTGCGAGACATAGGGATTGAAGCTATTTTCTATTCTTTCTGATAGACTGCTTACTTAGCAGTGTTAAAGTAATAGTGACCACATTGTGGGTGGAGTTGTCTGGAGGGACATGGCAGGTAGTGCCAAAGGAGAGGAGTGCTGAGCTCCCTAAGCGCCTAGAATTTTTTATAGTGTACCAACAACAGCATGTGTATCTCAGAATCTAGAAGATGTTACATTATTAGACATGAAGCAGCCTTGTGCTTTGATGTAGAGGGAGAGGTTCTCTTTCGTCAAAGGTTGTTTGCTCTGCAAACATTAATGTGCCCTTTTTGAAGGATGTATAGGAACATGAGGAGCCTGTAGAAAAGTGTCTCATGATTGAGATCTGACCACTGAATGTCCTTGTGTCACCCTCTTGGCTGCTTTCCTTCCGTCTGATGCTACAGATGTTGTTCCTCTTTGTACTTTACATATAGATGGGCTGGAATGAAACCTTTAGTCATTTCTTTCATGTAGGAATGTTTATCCTATATTAGTTATTGACTGTGGGGAAATTATGTTTTCAAAGTTGCTTAATCCTGAGAGGAGTGAAAACTTGTTCTGCCAGGAGGAAAACATGAATAAGGGAAAATGGTAAATCTTGTTTCATAGGAGCTGAATTAATGTTCTCTTGCCTTTGATTTTTTTAAAGTGAACTGATAGCATCTTTAGTTTGGAGTTTGATCAGTTAAAAATATACTTAAATCCTTTGATTTAACTGCCTCCAGGTTTTTGTACAATTGATTTAGTATACTAATGGGAATATTGATGATTAGCTGAGCTCATGTGTTACTTTTGTGGACTCATTTTTATTAGTCTTTAGAAAAATAACGAATATATTCTTATTTATTTATTTTGAAATATATGGTTAGTATTCTTTATTAGGCTTTATGGAGTGCCAGTAGTCTACTGGAAAGGAGTTGTGTTGCCAACCCAAAGGCACATGATATGAATCCACCTTTCTCAGCAGGGGAAAGAT